CCGTGCAGTCTACACAAGGGATGCTCCTACACAAGGCCACTCCTTCAAGACTTGGAGAGGTAACTGTTTTGCCTAATTCATAGACACAAACTCAGAAAGTCAAACAAAATGAGGAGACAGAGGAAATATTACGAAAGAAATGAAATGAACTTTCAAATCAAGAAATCAGAAAAAGAACAACTAAAATACGACTAAAAGAATGTAGGAGGAAGGAAATATAAAGATAAAAACTTTTAAGAGACAGGAAAAATAGACTGTAGATTAATCCAAGAGTTGAATTTTTGAAAAAATCTCCCCAAATTGGTCAAAACTTTGACAAGCCTACTAAAAAAAGAAAATACAAAAAAAAGTAAAAAGGATATATCAACAGATACATATCTCTAAAAATTCAAAGAGAGTAATATGAACAACTCTCTGCTAATGTGTGAGTATGAATCTGGCCACAACACAGTTATACAAGAAATCCAATTTTATTTTTCTGCAATTCATCTCGTTTTTTTTTTTTAAGTCCATCCTCATTGGAGAGAGATGGAAACCTGATCTCAGCCAGTCTGGAGTTTCCTTTTTGAGTCTCATTTCAGGGAGGGGGGTGTGGGTGGGGAGGTGATGAGGTGAGGGCGATCTTTGTGTTTCTAAGGCATGAGTGGGTGTGGGGGGAGATATTCACCTAGTCCTCAACATTATCTGTTCATGACGTACATCATTCTGCCTGGTCCTCAGTCATCAATCCACACCATTTGCCACTGAGATGTCTTCACTCCTGCCTAGTCCTTTCAGTATGGTGGTTCTCTCTCTATTAATTCCACATCATATGTAGGGGCAAGGGCCTACTTCTGCTTCCTCACTGCAGTGCTGGGGTACTAAATGCAAGGCTATTTAAAGCCTTGTCAGCATAATCTGCCCTCCCAGTCATTTCTTTTCTGGTACCATATTACTTCCCCAAGGCTCAGTGTACCGCCTCCCTTTTCCTCCACTTTAGGATCCTCATATTTGTATGGATTATTACTGCTTCCCTGGTGCTCTATGAATCAGGTTACAGGGCCCATCTTTTTGGGATTTATCAATGTCTATACTTTTATTACCTCCACACAATATCCTCTTCTTCCATAGTCTTGGGAAACTTCTTTCTAGTCTTCTTGCAGCTTGGGGTGAGGTTGTGGGGAGAGACTCAGCCCAGTTCTTTCCAGTTATAGTTCTCCCAAATATTTTCTCTCTATACGGAACCTTCTTTATTTCCTAATGGCTTACATTTTCAGAAATCAGGTTCAGAAAGACTTCTTTTTTTGTGTTTAGTACTCTGGATTATCCCTTCCCCAAAACAATGAGCTCATAGCTGCCTAGCTGCTTAAAAGGAGTATGGAAAGAGGAATAAGGAAAAGATGAACTAATAGGAGAAAAAAAGTTAGCATTTCAAAAATATTATCCTGTCACATAAAAACTTGTCGAGATGACAAATTTGTGGAATATTATTTGCTAATATTTATCAAACACTTATTCTGTACCAGACATTGTTCTAAGAACTTTACATGTATCAACTAATCTAATCATCACAATGATAATTAAATAGGTACCATTACTATTCTGATTTTACAGATAAGGAAACTGAGATACAAAGGGGTCAAGTAATTTAATTAAGTTTTGTTCAGTAGTGGCAGAGCTTGTATTCAAACCCAAGAATGCTGGCTCTGTTGTCCACCTTCTTAACTACTATGTAATGGGTTCTCCAACGTCCCTCACAAAGGACATTGGAACTGCACAGGGGATGTGGATCTGGTTTTCATCGAGAATGGGGAGAGTTACTGGCATTTAGTGGACAGGGCCCCAAAATGTTAAATGTCTTATAGTGTGAGGGATAGTTTTGAACAATAAAGAACAGGCCCATCCAAAATGTAAATAGAACTATAGAGAAACCCGACACTATACTATATTACCTCCAAATTGCCAAGATTGACTCAAAAAAACTTAAAAAAAAAATAAAAAGTTTAAATACACTACTCTTAGTGGAAGAAGTTACAAATATTATCCAAAAATAAATTGCTAGAGGGGCCAGCCCCGTGGCCAAGTGGTTAAGTTTGCATTCTCTGCTTTGGTGGGCCAGGGTTCGCTGGTTTGGATCCTAGGCATGGACCTATGCACCACTCATGAAGCCATGCTGTGACGGCATCCAATATAGAAAAGTTAGAATGACTTGCAACTAGGATATGCCACTATGTATTGGGGCTTTGGGGAGAAGAAAAAAAAAAGAGGAAGATTGGTAACAGATGTTAGCTCAGGGCTAATCTTCCTCACCAAAGAGTATACCTTAATAAATAGATAAATTGCTAGGTCGATTTTCTACTTAGTTCCTTTAAGGTTTTCTCTTTCAGAATGTGAGAGGATATAGTAGGCCTTTTAGTTGATTTTGTGAAGCTAATAAAACACAAATTAGATTTTGAGAAATATTGCTAGAGACAAAGAGGGGCATTTCATTACAATAAAAGGGTCAATATATCAGGAAGATATAACAACTATAAATGTATTCACACTGTAGTGAGTTGAACAGCGTCCTTCCCAAAATTCATGTCAACCCAGAATCTCAGAATGTGACCTTATTTGGAAATAGAGTCTTTGTGGATGTAATTAGCTAAGATACTATCATACTGGAATGGGGGGAGTGGCAGGGGATACTTAAATCCAATGACCTATGGTGTTCTAAGAAGAGGAGAGGGCACACAGAAACGAACAGGGAAGAAGATCATGTGACTACTGAGCCACTACAGCCACTATGCAGAACAGTATGGAAGTTCCTCAAGAAATTACAGATATACACACACACACACAATGGAATACTATTCAGCCTTTAAAAAGAAGGAAATCTTTCCTTTTGTGACAGTATGGATGAACCTGGAGGGCTTTAGGTGAAATAAAGTAAGCCAGACAGAGAAACACATAGACTGCATGCTATCATTTATATGTGGAATCTAAAAAAAAAAATCAGACTCATAGAAACAGAAAGTAGAAAAGTAGTTGCCAGGGACTGGGAGGAGGGGGAAATAGGGAGAGGTTGGTAAAAGGATACAAACTTTCAGTTGTAATATGAATAAGGTCTAAGCATCTAATGTAACTATAGTTGGTGATACAGTATTCTGTAATTGAAGTTTGCTAAGAGAGTATAACTTAAATGCTCTCACCAAAAAAATGAAAAGGTAAATCTGAGAGATGATGGAAATGTTCATTAACTCTATGTTGGGAATCTTTTCACAAGGCATGGATATATCAAATCATCATGTTGTACACTTTAAATATTTTATGATTTTGTCAATTACATACCTCTATTATGCTGAAGAAAAATATTGGCATGTGGCTAGATGGCCGGATCAGTGAAATAGCACAGGAAAAAATTGCATATGGGTTGGATTTATGATAAAGGAGTGACTTCAAATCAGTAAGGGAAAATTGGCTTATTTAAGAAATATCATTGGGGCCAGCCTGGTGGCACAGTGGTTAAGTTCACACGTTCCACCTCAGTGGCCAGGGGTTTGCTGGTTCGGATCCCAGGTGCAGACATGGCACCGCTTGGCAAGCCACACTGTGGTAGGCGTCCCACATATAAAGTAGAGGAAGATGGGCACGGATGTTGTTAGCTCAGGGCCAGTCTTCCTCAGCAAAAAGAGGAGGATTGGCAGCAGATGTTAGCTCTGGGCTAACCTTCCTCCAAAAAAAAAAAAAGAAAGAAAGAAAGAAATAGCATTGATACAACTATATCAATGTTATATATATATAACTAGCTATCTGGGGGGAAAAAAAAAAACTGGATCCATACTTCAATCTTATATTAGGATAGATTCCAAATGGATCAAATATTTAAGTGCAAAGAAATGAAGCCATACAAGTATTGCAAGAAATCATTGGGAGATTTTTAAAATTTTAATCATAGAGGGAGGAGAAGGCGTTTTTTAAAAACCCAAAGCCATGAAATAAAAATTAATAAATTATATCAAATACATACGTAGCATGAGCCCAAAGACCTAGCAGTCCTACTCCTACATATATTCTCTGGAGAAACTCATGTGCTTTTACTCCAATATACCTGTGCAGGAATGTTCATGGCAGTGTTGGTCATAATAGTCAAAAATGGAAAGAGCCCACGTATCAATCAACAATAGAACAGATAAATAAATTATAGTATAGGTGTGTAGTAAAGAATTTAACCTTGACCAAAGAGAGAGAGAGCCCTTGCTCTTGACTTCCCAAGGTAATCTCAAAGCCCTTGGAATGTCATACCTGATAGCGTCTTTGTTTGCTTGGGGGCCTTGGATCATGTTATCTAGGGTGAGGCTGGCCCCACGAGATAGTCTAACAATGTGATTTAGGGTGGGGGTTTTGGGTCACTCAGTATCAGCTGAACCCCCAGGGGGGCTAGAGATTGAGATCAGCCATGTATGTAGTCAGTCATGCCCATGTGACACAGCCCTAATAAAAACTCTGGGTACCAAGGCTTGGATGAGCTTCCCTGGATAGCAATACTCTATGCATATTGTCACACATCATCTGTCCTGGGACCCCCAAATTTGCAGCTGATGTCAGAAGTGAAAGTGGTCTTGGGAACCCTGGAATATCTTTACAATGAAATACATTGCAGTCATAAAAAATATTAAGGAGTTCTTTGCTCACTGATTAGGAATGGCCCTCAAGTTATATACACAAAGAATGGTGTGTGGAATATGTTACCATTTATGGAAATAGTGGTGGTGGACAGAAGAATGTATGTACTTATTAGCCTGTAAATGCATACAAATATGTTTGTGAAGATACCCAAGAAATTTGTAAGATTTGTTATTGCCTTAGGGAAAAATTAGGTGGTTGACAGGAGTGGAAAGGAGACTTTTTACCTTTTAAATTTTGAACCCTGTGAATATAATCACTACTGAAAAATAAATAAATTTAAATACAGAAAGTCTATGTATCTCTATTTTGTTGAAGCAATTATTAACATGTTTTTTGTCTTGTTTTGTTTTTAGGACAAAAGATGAAACATCAAGAAAAAGAAAGAGAAGAAAAAAAGGAGGGAATGGCCACATGCTATCACCTTTCCAAGGTGCTGTGTACTTCAGTTTAAAGAGTTTATTTTATGGTCCTTGTAGTAGTTGGTTTACATTTTCGTTGGCTTGTCAAGGTCACAGTTACAGTGTCTAATATGTTAAGGAAAAAATTGTGTATATAATTTTGCTTGTTGGTTAAATACGAGGTACATATAACTTTAAAATTTAGATTTATGTTATCTTCTCTTAAATATCTCTATCAAGATTAGTAGAACAGACCCACCTACTTCAAAACATCAAAAAATGCCAATTGGATTCTTTTTACCTCTGTACCCTGAGAGAGATGACATTCAGCACACAGTTGCCTGCTTTCAAATTTTATTTTATTTTTTTTTTAAAGATTTTATTTTTTTCCTTTTTCTCCCCAAAGCCCCCCAGTACATAGTTGTATATTCTTCGTTGTGGGTCCTTCTAGTTGTGGCATGTGGGACGCCGCCTCACCGTGGTTTGATGAGCAGTGCCATGTCCGCGCCCAGGATTCGAACCAACGAAACACTGGGCCGCCTGCAGCGGAGCGCGCGAACTTAACCACTCGGCCACGGGGCCAGCCCCTCAAATTTTATTTTTTAAAAATACATGGTAACATAGTTTTATATAATATTATTAGAGTCATTTAGTATAATTAACATACAAGATTTTGAGTCCTTAGAAAAGGAATCTCTTGAAAGTAAAAAATGTCCTATGATTCTCAAAGTAAATATGATCAAAATGACGAAACTGGTTTTCCTCTTGTCTTCTATCTTGTATGGAATAGTTAATACACTAGTTACTCTTCCAAATCAGGTGCTTACAGTACATTCAGAAATTATTTTAATGTGCTAAACATGATGTCCAAACTTGAATACTTCGTATCTGTATTTGTGCCTACTTTTCTTTTCCTTTTTTTTTTTAAGATTGGCCCTGAGCTGACAACTGTTGCCAATCTTTTTTTTCCTTCTTCTTCTTCTCCCCAAAACTCCCCAGAACATAGTTGTACATTCTAGTTGTAGATCCTTCTGTTGTGCTATGTGGGATGCCACCTCAGCATGGCTTGATGAGCAGTGCCATGTCTGCACCCAGGATCTGAACCAGTGAAACTCCAGGCCACCAAAGCGGGGCTCACAGACTTAACCCTTCGGCCACGAGGCTGGTTCCCCTACATTTCTTTTTGTATTTGTTCACACTTTTCTATGGAACCCCTACAGCTTCAAGAAGGCAGAAACTTCTAGAAAAGAAACATTTTGTGAACATCAGGTTCATGGTGGAGCATTTGGCGAAAAATTTTCTTAGAGGCCACAATCTAATGTCTAATGCAAGCATTCTGTCATAAATTTTTTCATTAGGATGGGGCACTCCATGATATAGTTGACAGGCTGAAATTTGCTACCCAGTTGACCAACTATTACAAAGATTTGGATAATTACAAATGACTTGTCTTCCTTTAAAATCTCCAGCACCTAACAATCTCACAGAATGTCAGGGATAAAGCAGTGGATGTCATCTCAGAAAATAAAAAATAAAGCTTTTAATCTCTCAGTGCTTAGTAGCGATAAAATGAAAACCTGCCTCTCCTCCAGTCTTCCTCATTTCTGTAAACTTACAACCCAAGCATGATCTAGAGGTCATTCTGGATTCTTCTTTCTCTCTCCCCACTCCCTTACCATTACCGCCCCACACACATTCAATTAGTGACAGTTACTATAGGTTTGCTCTCTTGAAAGACCTTCCTTCCTTCTTAGTCTAAAGACTAAAATGCCAATCTTCTGATTTCCAGCCTCCTTTGCAGCCAGGAATGGCCATTTGGCATGATTTTGGCCAGTGGTATGAAGGCAAAAATCTCTAAAATGCTTATAATGTTAAAAACATAATTCTTGTAAAATAGATTGGGGGCATACGCCAAAGTTTTATTTAGCTCATTAATGAGGGAACCAGCAGGATGACAAAGCTGGTTTAAAAGATAATATTAAAGACTTGGGTTTTTTTTATAGTGATTGTGAGGTGGGGTGGAAAAAAGGAATGCTGAGATAAGATTGCTAAGTTAGATATAAAACTGGTTAAAGTCCTATAGGGCAATAAAATGATGGTCTTCAAGGTTATCCTTTCTACTGGACGGAAAAGAAAATCATCGCACTTCATCCATTTTCTTTAAGGTAGCTTCTAGCTGTATAGAGTAATAGGTTATGTAGATGTGTAAGCTCTAATCCATAGTAAATACTGTATCAAACAAAGTCATAGTTCCTAGAGAGTTAGACGACTGCTAGGCAGCCTTCTTAAACAGTGCTGTAGTGTGACATTAAAAGGTCGCGCAGTCGTCATCTTACTAACTTTGTTTCCAAGTTTTGAATGTTCTTCTTAATGACTGGATTAGTGAACATTCTGAACTTTGCTCAGGGTTTACTCTGAACTTTACTCAGCTTCTGCCCATCCCCAGCTTTAGTCTGGGCAGTCTGCAGGGGCAGGATCTCGTCCCCTTTCCTGTTGCACAAGACCAGGCTCACCGCGTACCAGGGCAAAGCATCCTCTCACCCCCTGCCCAGCTGAGGTTGGGTCTGGCAGTCCAGGCAGCAGAGTTAACAGCAAGGTGGCAACAAATACTACTGGGTAATGTTAGCTATGCTGAAGAATAAATATGCTTGTATAGTAAATATCACACTGTAATGTTTTCTCGGTTCCTGAAAAAAAGACCTGTAATACAGTAAGAGTAAATAAAATTAAAATTCTAAAAAGGAGTAGGAAGGATAAAAAGACAATAGCAATTATCACTTAATATGTCCAAAGTATTATATCCCATTATAAACTATTGTTCTTCATTAAAATGTGTGGTCAATTGTGTAATCCAGGATACTTCTGTCAAATACATCTCAATAAAAATTAAAAAATAGACAATATATGGTTAAACAAATAAAAGAATTTAAAAAAAGATAACTCTAAAATTTCACCTGGTAGTTGGCATTGGATTTTAATTTTGTGGGATTAGAAACTCACTAATAAGTTTCACCCCTCACAAAATTTATGCAAAACTATTATTAAATGTTTGATTGATCTGAAATAATTTCAGCTTGCAAGTTAATGAACATTCTAACATTCAAAATAAGTATCCAAAATTTGCAAATCCAGGAAATTTACTATCAGTTATTTCCATTGCCATTCATTTCATTCTTTATAAATCCTTATTTGTGGGATTTTTTTCCATAGATAGAGTAACCTAACTCTTATCATTTAAAATTTAGATTTGCATAGTTGCACTTTGTTTTTCTCCCATTTTTCAAGCCACAGGAAATGGAGTTGCTGAAATAACGCTAGTGTATATAAGACATTTGTTTAATATGATGATAAAATTTGATGATTAACAGTATTATTAAAATTTTAATAACTATATATTGTGAGTTTGAAGTAAAGCTCCAGTGTTAGTTTGACTTATTTTTCAAGGTTTAATGTGCTCTCTTCTTAACAAAATGATGTCTAAAGTTTCTGTTTTCACTTGAATCATCAAGAAAAGCATAAGTATATACAATACAGCAAGTAGCGAATTTATTCTAATCAATTTTAATTTTTGTCTGCAGAGGGGCTGAAACCAGGCTAAACTCGTTGATTTCTGAAACTCAGTCCTTTGGTGTAAGGTGGCCAAACGAGAATGCAGAGCCCAGCACGGTGAAAGCTACAGTGGAGGAGCTTGGGGACGGCACGTCTTTCACACCACGTCTAGACTCCTGACACCAATCTTCACGTCCCCTGTAACCACACAATAAAAAGTTGGGAAATCACATTGTGTTTATGAAGATCCACGTCCAACACCGGAGAGCCTGACGACAAGCCAGTTGTGGCCATTTTAGGATGCTTACCCTGTTTGCAAATATTCTGTAGGGAAGGAGGAGATTGAGCCTACTTCTCTTAAATGTATGCCTAATAATTGCAACTAAAATACTTACACCAAAGTCCTACACAAAGCAGAAGACTTACAGATGGCATGAAAAAGCTAAAGCCTTCCCAAGTTTCATGTTTCTGTTTTTTACTAATGTCCCCTTCTTTCAACAAGTGTTATCAGTTTTCGTAATCTCAGTGTTTGTTCTGGAGCCTGATGTAATGTTCTTTTACTCTTGTTACTCCAGGTACACTGATGATAAGTTTCCAACCAAAAGCTTTCATCTCTAAAGATGATCACTTTGTTTATAAAACAAGAAAGGAGAAAGCAGTTCCCCAGTCAGCCCTTGCTGTTGCCTCTAACGGTTTTACGCATCGTTGGGCCTTTTGCTCGCTTGGGTTTGTGAGGGAATGTGTGTCCAATCTAACCATGTCCTTGATAGTTGCCTTTAAAAGAAGCTCCTGCTAGAAGTGAATGATGGCGACAGGGCTAGGTTTATTGTTTTGAACTGGAAGTTGAGGTACTATTATTTTGTTATTCAGGCAAAACTAAAAGATTGAAATTAATCTTGAATAGGGGCTGGCCCCACGCCCCGGTGGTTAAGTTTGGCGCTCTCTTCTTCTGTGGCCCAGATTCAGCTCCTGGGTGCAGACCTACACCACTTGTCAGCAGCCGTGCTGTGGTGGTGACCCACGTACAAAATAGAGGAAGATCAGCACAGATGTTAGCTCAGAGACAATCTTCCTCACCAAAAAGTAAATTAAAATTAAAAAATAAATGAATAATCTTGAATGCTGTTTTGTGCTGAAGTTAGAGTTTAAGATGTTATTCATATCACCGTAATGTGGTGGTGTTACTGAATGCCATTCCTTGAAGGGTTTTTTCCCTTCAAAGTAAAATTATAATAGGATTGTAGTTAAATTAAATTAAGCATCTTTATCTTTGATTATAAAGAGATTTAGCACAACTGTACATTATTTTTCCTCCTATATTGTGTTGGACTCCTAGTATTTGTGTATCAAGAAAGCATTTCCTTATATTTGAATGATAACATTTTAAAAACATACCAGCAGAGGACATAGGTTTTTTGCTTTTTGGTATTTTTTTTTTTCATTTTTGATTTACTGAAGAAATAAAGGCATTTTAGTTTGCAAATGGACTGTTTTCTTTTTTCCAGGAAAACTAAAATTCACAATTATGGGATAACCATGGTCTCTTCAAGAGGACAAAATAAAATATAGGCATTAGACATTAAAGTTATTCCAAAACTTTGTTTTAATTTGCGGATTAACTAAAACAGTGAGCATGCTCTCTGGAGGAGAGCATAAGAGCAGTGGCAGGACTAGATGGAGGTCTGAAGCAGTGCAGCCCTTCTCTGCTTTCCTTCCTAACTTCAAGCCTCTTTACCCAGATGCATAGTGTTTATAATGGGCCACATTATTGTTTAAAACCTCACTTTTGAGAACTATAACGCTTTACAGGATAAAAATTAAATTTACCGAAAGAATCATGTAAAAAATTTGAGAAAGGCAAGAGATAGCTTTAATGGAGAGAATATAAAAGAGACTTTTAAATATGTTCTAGTAGAAAAAACTGTGGACTGCAATCAGGAGACCTGAGTCCTCATGCTGATTTGTCCCCACGAAGCTGTTTTCCTCATCAGCAGAGGCTGATGTACCAGGAAGCTGATGATGCTTAAGCCTCAAGGCCCTGCCAAGGCCTGAGGAGGGTCCCTAGCACTATGCTTACATGGTTTTATGCTTTCGTTGCACTAAGGTACAGGGACAGAGGTCTTACTACAATATAAACGTGTCCCAGGGTGCCTGGCACTGGAAGTTAAGTGAGTATTAGAGAAGAAACAAGGTTTGAAATATATGGAGCCAGGGGCTGGCCCATGGCCAACTGGTTAAGTTGGCATGCTCCGCTTCAGTGGCCCGGGATTTCGCCAGTTCAGATCCTGGGTGCAGACATGGGACCGCTCATCAGGTCACGCTCAGGCAGCGTCCCACATAGCACAACCAGAGGCACTCACAACTAGAATATACAACCATGTACTGGGGGGCTTTGGGGAGAAGAAGAAGAAAAAAAAGAAGATTGGCAACAGTTGTTAGCTCAGGTGCCAATCTTAAAAAAAAAAAAAAATGTATGGAGCCAGAGAATAGTCTGTGGAAAATGTCAAATAATCAGATATGCAAAATTATTAGCAGAGGATTCTGTTTTCATCAATAGCTATCAAAATAAAGATTCTCTCCACAAACTTGATAGAGTTGAAAATGCACCATGTACAAAATGCTCCATACTTGCTTGTTTATGGGAATCATACAAAATAGAATTTATCAGAATCCCTTTTTTTGTAGGGCAAGAACTTATAGCAGTGCTAGAGCTCGTGTATCTGTGTGTGAAGACAAATTTGTTTATTTTGCATCCTATCATTTAAAAAAACAAATTTTGATCAACCATGATAGAGGAAAGACTGAATTGTCTTTCAATTCTCTATGTACAAAAAAATATATTACAAAATCATTATACAATGAAGTGAAAAAGAATTGCAGCCTCCCCCCCACAAAAGTACAAAAAATAATATAGAGATATGTCAAGCAGTTAATAAAAATAGAACGTTATGTTTCTGGATTTTTTAATATTTGTGCTATTTGCCAAGTTATAAAATTTGTAATTTGTGATTTCTGTTATCATTCTAAACAAATATTCACACATGTAGTACCTACTTTTGTATTCATTTTCTTAGTGGGACCTCCAAATTGTATAAGCTTTAGGCCCCACAAAACCTAGCTCTGCCCCTCTTCATTGAACAGTGGAGGGATTAAGTTATACCCAGGAATTAAAATGGAATGGGAAGTCATGAAAATGATTTAATTCCTGAAATCATCATTAATACAGACAGTCCTATCACGTTTGGGTGAAATATCTGTAAAACCAGCAAACTTTTCTCTTAATTTTGTCTTTCTGCTGTGGTAACTCCACGGGGTTGTTATGCTGACAGTGTCTTTTCTATGCCTCACCAAAGACCTTCTCCAAAGAGGGGGACAATGAGGGAGAAAACCCTGTCCTTTCACATGTGAAAGTCATTTTAGCCCTCCAAACTAGCTGTTTTACTCCTTTAAGCTTTAGTTTCTTCATCTGAAAAGTAATATTTGAAACTTCTCCCTGAGATCTAAAATATCCGAGTAGAATTTCTAATGTTCCTGGGTGCAAATGCCTGGCTTTAAAGTAAAGAGATAAAACTCAAGTTGATAATATTTCCTTGTTAGCACAGGTACAAGTTTGATGGTGACATTGATTAAAATACAAAATTAAACTATTATATTTCCCAACTAATGGGGCACAATATTCTTGTATGAACAAAGAAAGCTCTGGACAGTTCTGTTGTCCTGGGCTTTTCTCATTTTTCTTTTTTGGCAATTGCTAACCAGGAAAGTGGAAACCAACATAGGGAGGGGAGAGAGACTGTCTGGAACGTGGGTGTAAAATGCGTTTGGGGTTGTGGAGATACATGGACGGGGAGCCACTTATACTCTCAACCCCTCTGAATCCCAGAATGTTTACATTTATGCCATGAACTGGGCAACTGGCATATTCCATAAATTGAGGATTTTAGATTTTCATTCTCATTTTCTAAATTGAGAGTGCTATAAATACATTATGGAGGTGGTCATTTTAAAAAGCCATCCCATAGGGGTCGGCTCCGTGGCCGAGTGGTTAAGTTCGCCCACTCTGCTGTGGCGGCCCAGGGTTCAGATCCTGGGTGCTGACATGGCACCACTTGTCAGGCCACGTTGAGGCGGCGTCTCACATCCCACAACTAGAAGGACCTGCAACTAAGATATACAACTATGTACATGGGGGGTTTGGGGAGATAAAGCAGAAAAAAAAAAAAAAGATTGGCAACAGTTGTTAGCCCAGGTGCCAATAAAAAAAAAAGCCATCCCATAGATTAGATTTTAAAATGCTTTGTAGGAAATTAGAAGAGCACTATTCTTGTCACTGATAAGATTTGTTGATATCATCATCTCCATTTTATAACTGAAGAAACGAATTCATAATGGTTATGAGTTCAGGCTGCGTGAGGCATCAGAACTAGCAATATTGGAAATGAAAACCCAGAGCACCTTTACTACTATCTGGCGCTCCTCTCTCTTCTTAAACGGAATTCACAAGTTTCTAATAGATGGAGAGAGTGAAACCTGTAAGAGGAGGAGGGTGGACCAGGTGGAGTCTCTTACACTTACTCTCTCTCTCTCTCCTCTCTCTCTCTTTCTCTGGTTTTGTGATCTGGGCTTTGAAGGCAGCAGTTCCTGGATCACAATGGCTCCTACAACAGTCCAGCCCCACTGGGCTTTGAGGGGACTAGCGTTTTTAGGGTCCTATTTATTGGCCAGTGCTGACTGAACATTAGAATCATCTGGGAAACTTAAAAAAAAAAAATCCTCCCCAACAGGCCATACCTGAAACCAATTAAACCAGAATGTCTGCAGCAGGACCCAGGTGTCAGTATATTTGAGAGCTCTCAGGTGATTTCAATGTGCAGCCAAAGTTGAGAACAACTTGCTCTAGGTCAGTGCTTCTCAAACTTTAAATATTATTCATCTAGGGAGCTTGTTAAATGCAGACTCTTATTTAGTAGGTCTTTGGATGGGGCTCAAGATTCTGTATTTCTAGCAAGCTCTCAGATGATGTCCTTGATAGTCATCTGACGATTGCACTTCGAGTAGCAAGAATCTAGACTACAGCAATGATTCCCAAGTCATCAAACCACCAGGGAAACTTGGAATAAACAGAGATACCAGTGCCCCACTCCAACCTGTTAAAACCAACTTACTCTGTTGGGTTTAATTTTTGGGTTTTATGGACCCATTGAGATGAACAAAAATCACCACCAACAAATT